CTACAGCACATTCCTGTGACACGCGGTCTCAGCTACCGGCTTCTCATCAGACCTTTTTGCAAAAAGTAAAGATGCAGAGGCAAGAGTCAGTCGTTTTCCTTGCAATTTGTAAGGAGAAAGGAAATAAGTCGCTGACGATCAGTGGAAGCATATTATGACCCAGACAGGTTGGAATCCATCAGAAATCTCTGCTGGTCTCTCTCTCTCTCTCCCTCTCCCTCTGCTAATGACGCATAAAGCTGGTCTGGCAGGCCTAGAGAGCTCGTACTCTGAGCTGCTCTCACATTTGGACATCAAAGTACGTCTGCACGTAGCCGACTGTATCACCACTGTTCTGGCTTCTATTAACTGACAAAAGTGATCCGTCTGCAACAGAAACAGGACTACCGGGCACCGGTTGTGACTGCAGTGAACACTACTTCACGATTACAGGCGTCGCCAACCCAGTCCGAGGGGGAAAATGCTGCTTCCCAGTTATTTAAACAGGGAAACTGCAGAGCTTCTGCCTCTTGCTGGATTATTGGTTAGTGAGAGACGTTATGTGAGTCTGGTTAATTTTGCCCGTTTAAATGTAAGCGTAATGCTGCACTCAGCGACATAAATAAAACTCACTGCTGTCTGCTCAGAGCAAACGCTTGCCAGGCCATGGCTGTTTGGAAAGGGGAGGTAGGTGTTTTGAGACACTTGCATTTGGAAACTACAGCAGCCTCCTGGGGAGGAGGAAGGAGATCTTGCAGGACGTGGCCCCTTGGGTTGTTTTCTGAGGTAAGTGTGGAGTATGCCAAGGGTTCACAGTCTCCAGATTGTCTCCATCTAGGACCATGGCATTCAACTGTGACAATTCCAAGCCTGAAAGCCTTTCCAAGCGTTTGCCAAAGGAATTAAAAGTAAAATGCACCGCGTAAGCTCCCCCCTACAGCTCCAAGCTATTCCTCCAGGACACTGAGCCAGTTGCATGGTCTCTTCCGTCAAACCAGCTGACCAGCGAGGTGAAAACTGAGAGGCTGATGAAAACCAGAACTTGCATCTCAACCGTGCCTCTCCAAAGCAGACGATCAGTCCTCCCCGGAGTGCAATAAAAAGCAGATCATATGAATGGGGAATACTTATCTTCAAAAGGCATTTTTTCCACAGCCACTTTTTGGCAGCACCTAGGTGAATTAGTGCCCAAGTCCCTCTACAGATCCCTGTGACTAAGGAGAGACGAAGAGGTTACGACTCGTGAGTAGAGCCAAAATGACGACTTCATGCCCTCTCAGCAATCGCAAAGGCAAAGTAAAAAGCCTTCACTTAAGTCGCGTGCACTGTGTGAACGAGATCCTCCAAAAACAGTGCCCTGTTATCCTCAACTGACTGTTATTTACAAGAAAGCAGATGCCCACTGCATGCACAATCTGTTTCATAACACTGACACTGCTGGAAACCAGTTATCCCAAGTATTGTGCGAACACAAAGGAAGGCGCGGGGCCACTCCCATTGTGCTCCACACTCATTCACTCACTGATTGCAACTGCCCCGCTAGAAGCTTTCCAAACAAGGTCTGTTACTACCAAAACCAACCACATCAGCTGAGCCTTGAAAAGATGTGGCAGGAGGAAATTTAAACCCAGAAATTGTCAATGCCGTCAAGAAGGAACAGGGAACGCGGTGCAGAGTACGGAAGCGCTACTGGATCTGCCTGGCTCGGTGTGTCCACGAGATGGCAGAGCGCGCCGTGCTGCTTCCTGGTCTGCCAAGAGCATCGCTAAGGAGGGATACACACACATCCTCCAATGTCAAAACAAAAGGCTGGGGACAAGCATTTTTCCCATCAATAGCTATGAAGAAAGAGAGTTTGAGGGAGGTTTTTTTTTTTTTTTTTAAATTTTTACACCTCTAAATAATATCACCAAATACCACAGGCCTTCCTTGCAACATTTTGTTAAAAACTATCGATAGATTCCAGCTGCAAAATTCAAATTTTCAGATTTTCAAATCTTAATGTCCAGACATCCAAAGCATTCTGCTTAACCCCTTGGAGGGGCCACTGGAAATATGAGCTGAGATACAGATAAGGACCTGGGCGTATCCCAGAAATAAGGTCTGGATTCATGCCTTATGTCCAGTGCATCAAAGGAAACCAAATTTCTAAAGCAACCTGTAAGGGAGATTTGCTCTCTCCCTCAAACCCGGTGCTCTTGATTAACTCTCCCACGGCTGAAGAGGCACATTCAGCATTGCAAAACGTTTGCATCACCAAATCGTACTCGAGAATGAGCCGAGAGGCCAGTCTGGCTCTCTCTCCATGCACAGCTCCCCATCAATTTAGCGCATCCTAAGAGACGAACAGGAAGTAATCCGAAAGCATCTGCTAACAAGCAACCCATGAGATTTTAAAAACAGAGAAAATTTTATCTATCTCTGACCTGAAAAGCCTCTTTTTCAGGATATGTCATAAAAATAACTGCAGCGTGGAAAGCTCCCTGGAAGCTGAAGGAAGGACTCATTTCCAAACACTCTCACTATGTGCCCTTCTACCCTCGTGCACAGTATTCCAAAGAGTCATTTAAAACAAGAAAGTGATAAACAGCAACACAATCACTGTCGGCGTTGCATGATTACGTTCAAATCCAGTTAACAATGATACGTCAGGATTAACCCAGCTGTCACGAAGCATTCCGCTTGTCAACGCTGAACGAGACAAATCCTCAACAACAGCTACACGGCTCTTAGTTCCCACAGGCGCTACAACTGCACATGCCTAGGTAAGGGAGTCTCTGAAATAATGTAATATTTACTCATCTGCCCAGAGGCACAAGCAAAGCACCAAATCAAACATAAATCTCCACCAGGTCTTCAAGGCAGGGCTTAGAGCCACCTCACTGACAATTAAGATCCACAAATAACACTGTACGACTTTGAGAGGCCACTAGAACCACTTGATAGATATAGATCCGCCTTTTATAGAGGTATAGATCAGAATTAACTCATTGGAGTCGATGAACTTAATCTAGTGTCTCAACAGGATGAGAGGATAACTAGACCAGGAGGTCCTGGCTTACTTAATACTTGTCCGTTATGAAAGAAGTTAAACTCTGGAGAAGAAGAATGTCAACTCCGGGCATAGAATATGAGTTTCTTTTCCGAAGGAAACTTCTAATAGCTTCTTCTAATCTTCTTTCTTTCTTTCTAATACCTTCTTCTAATAACGCAAGGTGCTGTGAGCAAAAGTTCACCGCAGCCTGCCTGCTCGGCACCCTCTCCTGAAAGGGTACAGATCTGCAGCCCGCTGCCCCAAGCCACAAGTCACTTACCAGGCAGGGTCCTTACTCCTCACCTGCCTTTTGTCTCCTGTCCGTAAGAGGTGATCTCTCGCGTAACTAAGAGAACGCGTCATATCGAAGGGAAAACGCTATCCTGAGACTCTGCACCTCTGCGTTTGGCTCACCCTGCGTGACCACTTACCCTCCCTGCACCATAGTTCTCCCTCTGCAAATTGCGTTCCTGTTTCCTACCCTCCCGGGGACCGAGTTCATCTAGCCAAGAGTCCTTACAAGAAGAGGGTCAGGGTTCATCACCAAACAGCACTTTAAATAAACCCTGAAATATGTAGCACTGGGTACTGGGCACAAAAAAATGCAGTTCTAGTGTGTCTGGAAACTCCCTTCAATTCTGTATGTAAAACATTTTCAATTATTCCCCAGGGAAAATAAACTTATTTTGCAGAATTACTGGGGTCTTTACTGTCAGCTAACCCCGATGTTTTCTGCCTGTGACCTAAAGTCCAGACACACTGAGCACATAAGAGGCTAAGCAGAAAACAGCTGCGTGCAGTGCTTCTCTGTGCCAAAGTTAGCAGTACTTCTCCACTCTTTTCACTACTTCATGCATTTATTGCCAGCTAGTTCACGCTCAAAAGAAATAGTAACACAGATCATCCCATGACTTGAAGGATGAGCAAGACTTTCTCTCACATGATGCATGAGCAAGAATCCCAGCGAGCTCTCGTTCAGTGCTGAAAAATCAAAACGCTACCACAGTACCTGAGATGTCTCGGTCCTTCCCTCTGAAGGCAAAAAGGAGTCGTTCTTAAGACCTAAAGGTGACCTCAACAAGAAGCATGCTGAGCACCTTCAGAAACATGCTTAGTCCAAGGTACTCTGCTCCTTTCAGGACTGGGGCATGGGAAAGAGAAAGGCTGTAAGACACTGACCAACTGGGACCATTTAACTGAAAGCCTCATCCTACCATTCCTTAGTGTCCGAGTGCCAAAGGTCATTTAACCAGAGCTACCAAAACTGATTGAAGAGGATAGACGTGGAGGAAAGAAAAGGCTAGAGGTAACTTATAAGTGAGTAATCATTGCATACACACATATACGCATGCTTCATGGTGGAATCATCTGAACCAGCACAGTCATTGATGTCTTCTTGACAGCAACTTATTTTGCAGCTGGCAAGTAGTTTGCTGCATTTCAAAATCTCCTTTCCTAAACTATGAACCTGTGTGCACGTATGTGTGTGTGTGTGCTTGTACATATATATATGTGTGTGTGTGCGCGCGCACATGTGCATATACAAGTATGAAAGCCATGTCCTAACTGTTTCACCTCAAGACAAGGCCGAAACTGTAATTCCCCTTGCCTAGGGGTAAGGTTCAGAGAAAGGCTCGCTGAAGCCACAGGCATGATTCTCTCTCACAAAACCTAAAGGATCATAGCTCAGGCTATCCAAAGTGCTTAAGAAATTAAACCTCAGGGAAATCAATGGAGTAACAGTCTTCCAGGATCTCGGATAGAATTTCTTAGCCGGAAGTAGTGGTGGACCCAAAATTTTCATAGGACTTAGCCACCAAATGGTAGTGAAGCCCCTATTGTCCTCAAGCCACTGCTGCCAGCTTAGCCCACTCCCCTGGCCCAGCAGCTTCCCCAGTCTCTGGGGACAATTTCGCAAGGAAAGGCAGCAAAGGGAGCTGATAGGATACAAGCAGCACTGCGGATCGCTGAAGTCTATGACACCTACCTGCCACACGGGAAGGACTTTCTCTATGTCGTTCAAGTTGATGCTGTCTCCATCCTCATATTTCCCTTTGCCGAGCCTATGGCAGGAAGAGAACAAAAAAAAAAAAAGCATGTGAAACCTCGCTGGAAAGAGAGTTAATTTTCTATTGCAGCACATGGGGAAGATTAGTTCTTACTGCAGAGGACCCTCATGAAAATAAAGAGGCGTTCTGAAATGAATAAGCCTCCCAAACGCCCCCATGTGGCCACAAAGCCATTTCTGCCAAAGGAACGCTGTTTCCAACCCCACTGACCGGCACCAACAATTACCCGTTTGCCAGAGCATTAAAATGCTCTTGCTATGACCTGGTAGCATCTCCTGGGAGAAATCTTTAGGCAGTCTTGAGTGCTAACGTTAGGTGATTCAAGGGGAACGAATTCCCAGACCAAGTAAAACTAAAGCCGCATCCCATCCAGCCAAAAAAAACAGGGAAGAAAAACATAACCATAAGTGTTTCTTTTGAACTACTTCTCATTTTAGTAGACTCCCCAAAGTTCCTGTTCCCCTGCTGAGAAAGATGGCAGCAAGCAAGCATAAATTTAAATCGTAAACAGGAGAAAAGCAGTATGCAACAATCAAAACAATTATAAACACAAATTTTGAAGCACAAAAAATTGGTGAGAGCAACCAAGCACAACAGACCAAATACACAGCTGTCAGGACAATTAGCAAGCTTTTATTAGGTCAAGAAAGGAAAAAAAAAATTCTGAAGATATTATGGGCCTGCTACTGGTTGCATGCAGAGAACCTGCTAATGATTCAGAAGAAGCAAAAATCGTCAATATATATCACCTTCTGCATTTATAAAGAATCAGAGTGATCAATTTCTATCCTGCAAGAACGATAAAGTATTCTTCAGTCACTTAGTGACAAAATAATGTTAAACAAGATGCACTAGACAGCACAGCGGAGACCAGCACACTGAGGTAATCGGTGTCCAGGAGGCCAAGAAGAGCTGCTCTTGGTGGAATCATAGCAAATGGAGAAATCATATATCTCTGGGGAGATCCAAAAAAAAAAAATCCAGGAAAACACAACGTGCTGAAGCACCAAACTTGAAAACTAGTAAGCTGAATGGAGGCATTCATAGCTCAGCTAACCAGACTGCAGTCCCTGTGAGATCCTGGCGAAGTGATGTAGGACTCAACTGAGAGTAATAGAAGGCTGGAATGTAATTAACACGCTGATCACTCTGTTAGAAGCCAGGTGTGCTCAATAAGTGACTTTCCATCATAGGTCAAATAGTGACTTCAATTTACAAAGGTTACTGCAAAGATATAATTTATATAAGATATAATTGATACCAACTAATGATTAAAAAAAATCATCTACACTATGCAACTTCAAGGAACTGACTCGATGACAAACCCCCCAAAGTAATCGTCAATTGTCGTCTAATGGTGATGTTTCCCTTGGGCTCATTTAGCAGGCCAACGCTATTCAGTGTCTTTGTCGGTGGTCTAGCACTAGATATAAAAAAATTAATGATGAAACTCAGTGAACACTGAACACTGTGAGAGTGGATTAAATGAGAACAGGACAATCATCCAGCTATCTTGAGACTGGTAAAAGGGGCCTCATCAACATAACTGATTTGGAACCAAAATCAGGTTAAACATCTCAGGACAAAGAATAGCAGCTACACGTACAGAACAGGAACCGTATCTTAGGGAAAGGCTGTTCTGGAAGGGACAGGTCGCACCGGACGCTACTTCACGGTGAACTTCTGAGGCTGGACTGTGGCATGAAGACAGTAAATGGAGAGGCAGCGCTGAGGAGGATGAAGGCAGCTTTTGTTTAGGGCAACACAGCTGAGAGTGACATTACAGTACTGCAGCTCGCTCTGGCACTCACATTTCTAAAAGAGGGTTGAGAATTTGCAGAGAGTATGCGAAGAACAAAACTGATACCTTTATACACCCTACCACGTGTACGGGATCAGCCTAAGGAACCAAATGATCCCTTCTGTGCTTACAGTGTAGAAAACATACTGAATACCGCCCGCTACACCTATTCAATACTGAGGGACATGTCCCTTTATTTATTTCCCATGTTATACTCTCTTCCTTTATTCTGATTTTAATATCATCTTTCCCCGTTTTCCATTCAATTTTTCATTTCACAGTTAATGTGTTAAAAAATCCCACTCAAGCAAGAGGGAAAATGCCTAACTAGCAGCCTTTCTGGAGATTCAGCAAGCTGAATCTCGTTCAGCATTAATTTAGTGTGGAAAGCTGACGAATACACAAAAGAGCAAACCTGAAAAAAAAAAAATCTTGTCTCTGTTTCTTCTATTCTAATCGGGTTTACTTATAACTTGTATTAACCATATCCTGAGAGATGCACCGTTTGCGCTGATGGCATAGGTTTAACCTAGAAACTTAGAGCTACTCACCTTGTTCCAAATATTCTGAAAATTGGTTTATTTAGCTGCAGTTAATGTTTAGAGTGCAGAAGAGTGTTATGCATCATGTGCTTTTGCTTCTCGTTACCTGGCACCAGAGTCTCCTGCACAGTTAAGAAGGCAGGTGCTGAATGCTAAGCTGGGGAAGGATCGCTACACGGCATGAGCCCAGATAAGTGTACAGCAATGGCCTGCACTTTGGAAAAAACAACTCACTAACAGATAAATTACTCTGAGAGAGGATTTCTATCACTACATACAACAAGAGTGGTACTGAAAAAAATCACTTGTAATTTTCTCAGCCTCCCGTTTTATACCTGTTCTTATTTTTTTCCTTCCTCTACTGAAGAAAATGACTCAGAAAAAAAAAGACAAAAAGCTTTACCAGACAAAATGTAGCTGTAGAGTAACTATATTTTTTCTTTAGCATAGATATTCAATGAGTTGCATCAAGAATGAGCGGAAACCTTGTGTCATAACTTGGGATAACAGAACAGGTAATACTACCCAGAAGAACAGTGCTGCCAGTGCATTAAGCAGTAGGACTCAAGAAGAGGGAAAAGGGACCTTCTGAACCGAACTAAGATCACCTCTCAACTTGCAGAATCTGCAGAGAAACTGCGACCCCTCTCTAAGCAACACAGGCGTCGCATTCAGTACACACGGGCACACGAACACCAGTGACGGTTCGGTGGACCTCAACTCCAGAACGAGACTGTGACACCTGGTAAATCCAGAAAAGAACAACCAAGATGATAGAGACTGCAAGGACTGACATACGACATAAAAAGAAACGTCAGTATGTATATAGTGCTTGACCAAGCACCAACCAAAGAGGAATCTGGCAGTAACATAAAAGTCCCTGGAGGTTTCAATCACGAGAGAAAGGAACTGTTTAATGTTTTCACCGTTTTACGCTAGGAGACAGTAGGTGAAATTCTGGAAGAAGCACTTTGATCTACATGGATCATTCTGATGCTCTGTTCTTCGCTAAAGTCTTGCTGGAGAGAACAACAGAAGCCCCATCGCTTACAAAAGTTTTATCTAAGATCAGCACTAAACCAGGATCTTTCTCCCAATGCTGAAAGATTTTTAAATCCACAGACCTTTGCTTGGACCCATCATGGTCTAAAACTGAACTCCACCAAGCAATACAAAATACAGCAAACAGTTCGGCTCCTGCCCAGAACTGGATGACAGAGTTAAAAAACAGACACTGCCATTTCTGATTCAGGAGCTCCCAAACCCCATATGTGACCTAGTGCCTCTTTTCTAAGTCCTCTGTATGAACCGTGCCACCAAGTTAGCTCGCCCAGTACAAGGCAAAAGTTATACATGTTACTGGAGAGAATGACCCCGCTATTATTTCTGGGGCTGGGATCCCTCTGTGCACACACAACACTCACCCTTCTCTGTCTATGTGAGGCAGCGGGTGTTTGGAGGTGTTTCGGAGCTTCCTGTGAAATTGGGTGAAGTCTAGTTTTTCAGGCTGTAAGTCCCACGTCGCACCACTAGGAGAGAAAAAACGGAGAAAAACAAAGACAGACAATACAACCAGGCTGAGGAGCAGAGGGCACGTCTGAGCCTGCAGAGAAGGAAGGCTGGTGTTTCTGGCGACACTGCCGCAGGGTACACGACACAGACCTCCAACCTTTACACTGCTGCGTTATGTCTCATTTCTTCAGCTTTTTGGAGATACTGAGCTCCTGTTGCCTGTTCTAAACTCATACGTTCGATGGAGATGTATGATGTAATTATATACCTTGACAGCGACACTTGCTCTTTAAATCAAGTGGCTTTTGCAACAGGTACTAGTCTGGTCCACGAAACGCAGAGGCTCTGTTCCCTTACAGGCTGCCTGCTGCAAACGTGCCCTTCGTCGTCTGGGGCCCTGGTGCGAATCCCAGGGAAAACGCAACTCTCCTGCAGGCTCTGTGCAGACTCCCGCCGTGCTTCAGGCATGGCGCAGGGAGATGCACACAACCGGATGGAAAGCATATTTCCCGGATTTGAGCTGTCACTGCTTCAATGGGGCAGCACATTCATTTTTCCAGGGCTGAACCAGCAGCTGTATAGTTCTTTGCAGCAGCAGCAGTGAAGCAAAACGCACGAGCACACTGCCAATTAATGGAAGGAAAAAACCCCAAATCCAGGAGCTGTAGCTCACAGCTGCTCCAGGCTCCCAGGCAGTTACAGTTAATCACATCAGTAACTTATTCAGATGTCTCGACTGCACTCAGCGGCCTCTCCTAGCACGTATGATGCTTGAAGCAGGTTGACTGTGCTTAGTGCCAGGGGCTAAACGGAGAGGTGGAGGAAGAGCAGAGACGTCGCCCTGTGCCGCAGGGCCGCCCTCTGTGAGCACCTCCAGGACAACGTGCAGGCAAAGGCTAACGGAGGGCACAGTCCCATCTTTTAAGAATATCTGTTAAACGGCTTACCTGAACGAGTCAAAGGTATTGGCTGCCCAGATGTCTGTGCCCAGCATGTCAAGGGAGCTCTCTTTGTTGCCATTCTGAAAAGAAGGGGACAAAGCGGTTACTTGGAGGAAGGGACGAAGCACTTTCCGGCCCAGCTGCGCTCCTGCACGCTAGCCAGGCTCGCGTCGCAGCGAGGCGGGGAAGCGTTACAGCTTTGGGCATGGGTCTCACCATCCCCATGGGGCTGCAGGGGCTCTTTTGGCCTTCCTGGTTTTACCAGCTGTTTGAGGAGGGAGGCAACACAAACGCTATGAGTTTTCTTTAGATCGGCCACAGCCCACGAGCTGAAAGGTCGGCTCGCCCGGAGCCTCAGCAACGTCGGAGCCTGGGTGCTGTCAACCTCCCAGCAGCAGCTGGGTGGCTGCACGCACTGACGTGGCAGATAAAAAGAGGTCTGAGGTACGTAATGATAGAAGGACGTGAGGCCACCGTCCTGGCAACCCACAGCCCCCTCACTCACTAAAAAAGGGTGTTTTGGAGGCAGGGCGTGACACACAGTTTCAGCCTTACGGACACACAGCTGTGGACAACATAGAGTAGACAACATTGAGTTTCCGCTCTGATTCAGGCACCATCCTTCTACCCCACCTTCCACAGCCAACGTGGGACCACAAGGCCTATAAGACCCACCAGAGCCCGGCTTCACAGCCAGGCAGGTCCCGGCCATGAAGACCCTCAACTGCAGAGCAAGTGTTCTCACCTACAAGGATACAGAAGACCAGTGACTGGCGACACACACGGCAGAGCTGCCCGGGGAACCTCTGAACCCCTCTACAGTTTACAGTCATGCTGACTGCTTTTTCAAGGAGCCCCGGTAACATGACTTCTCATTACTCAAATGAAATCTCGCTGTGGGATATAGCACTGTGCCAGAACTAACGTCGCCACGGCTGCAGGCTTTAAGATTGTAAGAGTCAGTGCTAGAAAGCTGCTGCACAAAACATTCAAAGGATCGTGCTGAGCTTGCCGATACATTTTTTTCTCTCTTCCCCAAAGGCATAAGCCTTTTACGGGAAGTGTCGGGCTAACTGAAATTAATACTTTGCTTTATTGTCTCATTGTTTTTGCTTGGCCTGAGATCAGCGCGCCACTCGTGTCCAACCTCCCCACCGAAATGCATCTCGCGAGGGCCTTTTGAGGAACACTTCTGCCTCAAAGGCAAAATCGCCCTCCGCCCTGCAAAACCCTTCCCGCTGCGTGCATCTTGCACACTGTCGACAGCCTTAACCATCAGACAGCGGCTCCTTCAGCAGCATCCAACCAACACGCAGAGGACGTGAGAGCCCCGGGCCTTACAAGTCGGCATGTGCCGTTCCTGCAATATAAACTGCCAGAACCTCTTGCACTGCCAGCAAGTAGGGAAATCTCAGTGTTTTAAGGAAAGGAGGTCAAGCCTGGCTCCTTTCCACCCCAAGAAACACATGTAGGGCTAGGGGAGCGTGTTGGATTGAGTTCTGTGGTCTTCACGGAAGAACGGCCTCGATCAGCTCTAGCTGCCTCGCAGGTTAAAGGTCTAAGGCTGTACCCAACGGTACAGTGTTAATTTGTCTGTTTTTCATGTGGATATTCTGGTATACACTAACAGGACAATTCCTTCCCCGAAGGAACGACAACAGCACTACAGCACAATCAGGCTGGGATTGTGAGAAACCCCCAATAAACTGCAAGCACCTGGAATTAGCATAAATTTTGTGAGGCGCCCGCTTTTTTCAAAACTGGCCCCCTGAAGCAAGAGCATCTAAAGCAAACACCTTACCCTGCTTTTCCTGCTTCGCAGCCCCTTTACAACCAGCAGCCTACCCAGAGCGATCCCACAAAAAACATCCTACCACCTCCACCATTTGCAAGCAGAAGAGAGGTAAAGAGGTGAAGCGTACCAGATTCTGCCAGGTTCATTCAAGAAATCAGACCTTACTCAGACCTATATGGGATGGACACATAAACGCATCAGGAATAAGGAGTCCCATATTATCAGTTGTCCCCACCATTTCTTCTCACATGACCCTGTTCCAGCTGCCCGTAGCTTGGCCTCGGACTCTTACATCTTGTACTTCTTCCACAGATTGTTTAAGCATTTCAGCCCAAATGGTCCTGCTGTGGAGAAATGAGTGTCAGAGAACGCGGCTGATGCATGCTCTCATTTCGGAGGAGCGTTTCTCTGTGCACTGACTGTGCAGAGTCTTCACCAGTCCAAGGTCACCTAGCAAGACTCTCTGCAAAAGCAATTTTAGGCTGTCTTCAGCAATGGGCACTACCAACAAAAGTCTGTCTACTTGCACACACAATGCCTTAGCAGTGTGGGCCCAAGGAACTGCATTTTAGTGTCATGCACAGCTATGCTGGTGATGGCTGGTCTCTCTGAAGACCATCTAAGCCATTATAAGCATCGATTAATGGTAGATTTACCATACTATTGCCGATGGCTGTCCTGAAAGCTGTTGTTTCTAATGCCGAAGGTACATTTACTGAGTTCAGATGTACATAAAATCATGATACACTTCCATGCTGATAACGATTATCAGCAAAGATTAGTATGAATAAAATGTTCCTTAAGTCCACATACGGCTTTCCTGTGAGACTACCAACTTTAAATATTAATAATAACCGGGAAACTGAAAACTCTTCAAAATTCAAATCATTTCTTAGTGAAGTCCCAGATCACAATTTGCACATGAACTGAGCAATCTTTTTCCAAAGAGAAGGATGTGCCTCTCCAGAGCCTACTACAGATGGCCAGATTTCAGAGCTATTCCCAAGACAACACACAATTTAGGCAACAGATGTTCAAAATACAGTTGCATTGCTCCTTTTTTTTTGTTTTTGTTTTGGTTTTTTTTCTCCTACAAGGGGTCTATGGATTATGATTTTAGCTGCCTGGGACCGGCAGGTCAACATATCTCTGCACAGAAACAAACTACTAGAAACACATAAACCTCTCATGATTAGTTACAGAAGCAGAGCTTTTTATTTTCGGCAAAGGTAAGTAAAATTTCTCTCACCAAGCAGAGAAACTCCTTTTCTAAATACTTGGAGGCATTCGCATGCAGTGTAATGAAAATTCAGATGTGCGGGTCTTTAGAGTTATCATCCAAAGAAGAACTACACCTTCTTGCAGACAGATGCCTTTCTCTGCACAGGGCCTTCCTGCGGACATGGACTATTTTAAGTACCTGTAAATGAGCAACCTACAGTAGGATTTCCCAAGAGGAAAGTATTTGGACTCAGGGAGAAAGTGCAGGACCACGTAACCAGTTACAACAAGGATGAGACAAATCAGCAACGAGCAGATTAAACAGCCAAGATTTCGGATGACATGGGAACAAGTTGCTAATGAAACAGTCTGGGTCATAAAATTGTTGACCAAGTTCAGCTTGGCGCAGGGCTTCTGAAGAGCCTGTTTGTAAACCCTCAAACAAAACGTGCAGCAAGTAGCCTCCAACGCCCTGCTTTAAATATGTTCAAATCTGGCCTGAAAGCCTTGGGCACCGATACTTCCTAATCTGCACCATAAGCAGGGGTGGTACAAGCTGTCCCTCGTAATTCCCCAGCGTCTCCTCTACCACAGCTTCAGGTCTGATCTTCACCACCCAACTTCACCACCCAGGTGAGCAGAAGCAATTCAGCCCCAGCAACAATGCAGCCGTGCTCTCCCTGCGGAGGAGGCCAGCAAGCAGTGGAAACTGCAGTGATGTTCCCTGCAAAGTGGTACCAAATAATCTCTAAGAACTGGATGGAGACCACAGGAGCTCTGAAGATGGGTCTAAGCTTTTAGTTACTGTTGGATACTCACACCTCCACTGGTCTCCCAGGCTTTCCCTGCTACCGCCGGGAGACATTCAAAACATTAGTTTCACTCCATAAAAAACGCACCTGAGCCAAATGAGAATGCAGTTTGTCATTAAGCTGTCAGTCAGTATGGTCATTTCAAGACAAATGTCTTCTCATAGTCTTAAATGACCAGTCTTTATAATATGTTTCTGCCCCAGTTCAAAGGGCACGGAGCGCACTTGCTGCAACGAGAACCGAAGAGAGAGCAGGGCAGCACCCGCACGCCAGGTACAGGCTACTAAATAGAAAGCTCTCAGTTTGGTACTGAGACTCAACATTTAAAACACCCCCCCCCCCCCCAAAAAAAAAAAAAAAAAGCACCAATTTTCAAGTCCGGGGCAGGGGGAAGTATATATTCAAGAAAAGAAGTTACTTGGTGTCAGTTCCTCCAGGTCTGTAATTATAATAGTAATCAGTTTTAACTTGAAGTTCCCAGTGACCCAACCCACAGATTTAGATACTAATTTACACTGAAGAGGGGTTAGAAGTGTTGAAATTTAATTAAGCCACTAGGAATGATGACTGAGACACACTGATGAGAACCCCGTAAATACTCAGAAAGATCAGGGATTCAGTAAAAGAAGATCCTACACACACTATGCTTTAAACGCATTTTCATAACCTCAGTCCTCTGGATCCTGTGAGCACACATCCAGGTGAATAAAATCTACCTTTACCATTGCCTAACCACTGTGATTGCACAGACAAACATAGGGATAGGTGACCACGGCACCAGTGTGCAGACTCTGTACTTACGCATGCAGCTTCAGCAAATTCCCCACATAAAGTAGGCATTTACACGCACGCAGCAGCTTTTCGAAACCCAGCTCAACGTAACACCGATTTCTCTTACCGTTCCTCACCACTGTTCCCCGGCAAATCACTGCAAATGCAAGATCATGCTTTTCATTGCATGACTGCTGCAGCATAGGTCTAATCACTGTGCTTAGCACTGATAGAAAACAACACCAAGGGGTCAGCTGAGTCTTAGCACCACCCATGGTGTAAATGCAGGGATTACCCTGTGGGATGTGTTACTTTCTCAGTGCGTGTAAATTCTACGTTTGCCAAGACTCCCCTGCCTAACCTCCTTTTCAATCGCCTATGACCCCTGGCTGCACTTCGCTGGAAAACAGAAAAGAGCACACACAGGTAGAGCTGTCCAAAAAAACTCCAGTTAAAGGGTTTTTTTTGTTGGAAAATGGCA